CAGGCGGGGAAACCAGGTGCTGGACTTGAGCTGGGTCCCACGTGAGAGAAATCAGTGGGCCGATGATTTGACGAATCAGAAGTATGATCGCTTCATCCCGGAGGAGGTTGCTCATCGTCGGAGCCCAGATCGATTGGATCATTCTGGGCGATCTCTTGAGTGCTGCTTCATCTTTCCATGCAGACTTGGTCCAAGCGCAGCTGAGGCCATGAAACGTGGCAAGGAAGCGGATCGGGATGCGAGGGGCAGAAAGCAGGCCCGCACCAAATGGTGAGCATCCCATTCGGCTACGGCGTTGCATGGGTGATTGGCACATCTCTTGACTTGGGAAGTTTGGTGGGCCGTCTTTCGCCAAAGGCGCTGCGGCATGGTACTCTCGAGATGTGTCTTTCGCCGAATGGGAATTCCGATCCACTCAAGGGACAAAACATCAGTGCGTTTCCGATTGCAGTCATGTCAGTTACCACATGTCGAGCGTTGAGAGCTGTGCTGCAATTTCATATGAAATATATTTTAGATTGATTTCAACATATCCGCATTTATATCCCCCTTTTGTGGATTCTTTCGAATCCTGGACTCCCTGCTTGCATTTTGCCTCAGGTGGTGAAAGGGGGTGGTTGGTGGGATGGGTTTGATGGGCACGCACGCGTTCGCGACTTGTTGCGTTAGTGTGTGTGCCCCTCCAAACCCGTGTGCTTTGATGCACTCTGCGCATCTCCTTCGTCGCATGCAAAAGGTAGTGACTTCCTATTTTTGCAAGTTTTTGAAATCTTGGATTTTATGTGTAGGGATCCTTTGACTGATTTCATTGGCTGCTTGCGAGCATGACAAACATGTTTATCGCTTCGTAGCCTCAGGGTCAAGTGGTGAGGTTTGAAGCTCCCACCCTCCCAACCCTGGTGATTGGCACATCTCTTGACTTGGGAAGTTTGGTGGGCCGTCTTTCGCCAAAGGCGCTGCGGCATGGTACTCTCGAGATGTGTCTTTCGCCGAATGGGAATTCCGATCCACTCAAGGGACAAAACATCAGTGCGTTTCCGATTGCAGTCATGTCAGTTACCACATGTCGAGCGTTGAGAGCTGTGCTGCAATTTCATATGAAATATATTTTGGATTGATTTCAACATATCCGCATTTATATCCCCCTTTTGTGGATTCTTTCGAATCCTGGACTCTCCTGCTTGCATTTTGCCTCAGGTGGTGAAAGGGGGTGGTTGGTGGGATGGGTTTGATGGGCACGCACTACAAGTGTGATGTTTGTAACTTGTAAACTGGACTATTGTTTTGCTTGTGCGCAGATTAATCCGGCTGAAAAGCGGCGGGTGTGCAGCTGAGTTTTGGATTTTCCTGCGTTGCTATTTCGTCGCCAAACAGGTGGAGGTAGCATCTGCAGAGCCGTCGCCGAAAAGATGCGTCAGAAAAAAGATGAGGTGTGAGACCTGCTATGCTTATCTACGAATCTACGAGTCTGACAGGTCGTGGTGTTTTTGGAGGCTGCTAATGTACGAGTCTGACAGGTGGTGGAGTTGCTTGAGGTGGTTTCCGAGAGCATCGGACTGCGGTTCTGGCGTTTTCCTCGGTGGGTGTTCTGAAACGTCTTTCAGTCGTGCAGGTTGGGGATGTGTGCTAGCTTGAGAGTGATTCAGAGGGCAAGTGATTTGTGTTTCCAAGATATGCATGGATGTTGGCTGCTAGTTTTGCAGGGGCCAGACAACGGTTGAAACTTTTTGTTCCGAACCGATCGACTTTCAGCTGAAGTTTTGTACCCTCTCGACCCCCGCGTCTTGCACTGTTGCTGCAACAGCCCTGTGCTTGGTTGAGGGCGCCGTGTGGGGTATTGCAGCAGGTTTCTCCTGCAAAAGGCCTGCTCACCTGCCCCTCTTTGTTCTCTCTGCTGCAGTTGTCCTGTGCAGCCGATGAATTGATGCAGCTGCCGTTGGTGTGCCCGAATGGACTTTGTGTTGCCTCCCCCCTGAAGGTTAGGCAGCTGCCTCTGGCCCAGAGTGGAACTACTTGCGCAAGCCATTGAAAACTGTATGTGCGCTGAACTCTTCCCAGCAAGTTCTATCTTCGAGATTCTGGTGCGTCGGCTGCACAAGGACTTCCAACCCAAGCGCACACGATTGTGTGCAACTTGTTGGCATGCTATGCAAAAAGACCTGTGCCGCTCCGTGCAGCGCCAGCATGTATCGCGAGCATTTGATATGTATTGTCTCCGTCGGTCAGTCAGAAGTTGGAGGTGTCTTCATGCTCTGCCAGTTCGAATGCTTGCAGAGGCTCCACTCGCGTTCGTGCAGTGGGCGGGCTTGGCTTGTTGTGGCGCACGCTGAGCTGTGACTGTGCGGGCGGCAGCACAGTTTTCTTCCATTGGCCGTTTGTCATTGAAAGGCGGTTTCCTTGTTTGTCTTTTGCCTCCTGCGTCTTCTTTCTCGCGGAAGAGATGCGGCAAAATTGTTTGGGCGGTTTCCTAGTGGAGGCTGTTTCCTACCGATGGCTGTTTCCCACAGACGGCCGTTTCCTCCGCTGGGCCGTTTCCTACGCCTGGCGAACCCCCTTCGATGGGTTTCCTGTGATTTCACGTTGGTCAAAAACGTTGTGGTTTGCTTTCCCAAGGTTTCCCTTGCTTCCTAGAGTTTCCTAGAGGTTGCCAATGCAGATCCTGGTTGTGCTTTCCGCGTGGCTCGTGTGATCCTGCGTTTTTGGAGCAAGCCAAGGCAGACGACGAGGTTTCCGAGCAGCTTTCTGGTTTCCGCTTGTGAAATTTCCAAATCTCGTTTTGGCTTTGTCTCGTCTACGGTGAACTTTGCAAGTAGAGTCTTGAAAGACGAGGGCTTGCGTCGCCAGGAAGGGCCACACTTGGAACCGAATGAAGACGTGTGACACCTTGCTGTGCTTGTGTTTGTATCTGCAAGTTGTGTGGTGTTTGTTGTGTTCGAGAATGAAACCTTTCTCTTTTCGAAGTCTCGCTTACCATCGCCAAAGAGGTCGAACCAGTCACGAATGACAGGCTTGGTCTTGTGCCAGCAGAGCACCAACAATGAGTGGGATAGGAGCTTCCCCACCCGCATCCGAGCGTGATTGGAAATTCAAATCGCCAGCCAGTCGAAGCTGGGGGTTTCGTTTGGTCGCAGTTTGTGTCAGGCGTGTAGACTCGATTTTCAGGAGAATTGGAGCAATTGAGCCCCACCCAAGAAGCAAGGCGCAACAAAGGGATCAACATACAATGTCATTTGCGTGCCGACTTCAAGCAGGACTTAACATGGCGAACACGTGGGAAGTCTGTGCCTTTCGCGAGGCTCGAGGAAGAGCATGTGAGTTCAACGCAATTGCATGCATGCCGCCCTCTCAGACGAAACGTCTCCGCCCTTTACTAGAGAAGAAAGTCGTTGCATGCCGCGCTGGATTCCGAGTTCAAGATTTATTTAGATAAGTTGCAATGAAGTTGAACAAAGATGCTTTATGGACCTTTTCATCCGGATGTTTTGAGACCTTTTGTTCCTCCACGTCATCCTGTTGGGAAATATTGAGGACGCACCTGATCACAAAAAGCGAACGCTGGAAGTGCCTCCCCCCCAAAATCAGCCTGGACCCCTATCTCCTAGGCCTCGTTCGCTTTCCCTTTTCTGGAGACTGCAATTTGAGAAGCACCGTTTCTCAAATCCCCCACTCAGGAACATGCGATTGCCTCTGTTCCAATCAGTTGGAAAAACAAACATTCGTTTCTGCACGGCAAAGAAATGGAAAGAATCGAAGCCCAGCAAGACCGATAGAAAACACAAAAGTTCTGTTTGGTTGTAAATTTCAAGACCATGCTTTTCCTTGTGGCCATGGTCGCATTGTTGCAGGCTCCCTTTGAAGATTTCGAAGCTTCATCACGTCGCAGCTGCATTGAGGATTTCGCTTAGGCTTACATGAATTCAAAGCGGCAAAACGATATGTCTGGATGTTGTTTGGTTCCACAATTGCCACAGCCAATGCACCAGCCAATGCACAGAATGAAATAATATCGTCACATCGATGCTATGAATATACGCAGCTGCAAAGGCAGCGAATTGAAACTGTCGGGCTTGAATCCGCTCTTCTAAAGTCAACATGAATTATGCCATGGGCAACAAGTCGCCTCCAGCTGCTGCGGAGGCGGCTACTGCTGATACCACAGCCGAGGTGTGGCCTTGTGGACAAATACGTGGACAAAATGCATTGGCTGTCTGCGACTGTCAGCATAGCAAGGTGATGGCATCCACCAGAGCACAACTCAGTTTTTGGATTAAGCCGACAACTTGACCATGTCTGTCGAAGGTCCACGCTCGTTGGGCCAAGGACCTTGATTCGGCTGTCATGCAGTGATTGGGCGTGTGAGATTTCTTGTTGCTGATCTTGGCAGGACATGGTTGCCATGGAAGACAGCATCAAGCTGATGCAACGTGGCAAGACAAGGTGCTGAAGGGCTGGAGTGATTTGCGGCGCGATGCAGGGACTTCATGGGTGCATCCTGTTCAGTCGCGGTCTACACTACACCCTGAGCTTGTGTACACTGCACCCTGAGCTTGTGCGGGCACATGGTGCACGAACGTCTTGTATGCATCCTTTGAGTCTTTGCTTGTTCTTCAGTGTAGTGTGCCCTGAGAGCCAATGTGCCGACTTCCTTGTTCGAGCATGTCGGTCGCCATGCCACAACTCCGCACGAGCTCTGCCAGCCGCCATGGTTCACGCTGAATGTCATCTCAGGTTGTCAAACAGGTTGCAAGACGCCGAGGACACGTGGGGTTCCAGGCTGTTAGCATGGTTCAAGGGGACCACTAGAAGAAAGTGACAGTGCGAAGCAAAAGCAGGATTTATGACCACACGACTCCTGCATCCTCTCATCTCGGAGTTCGAATCGGCCAGAGGTACTCCATCGTTTCAATCGTCTGAACGAATCTGCGTGGCAGGACTGCCTAGACTCGGCTTCTGCAGACGTATCACAACGTGATTTTCTTTTCGACGCGGGAGATCATGACATGCGAGGCTCCTTGTGAAGGTTTTTGCAACAGGAGCCATGGGTGGCAAGTGTGCGTACCTGCGTACCTGAGACCTAGAGTTGTTTTGAAGCACGTCAGGCTGTTGTTACTTGTTCGTTCGCCCGTCGCACAGGCTGCTTCACTTTTGTAAGTGCTCTGATGAGCTTGCTCAACGGCCTCGCATCGCTCGAGAAACTGGGCAGCTATTTTGTGCATTCTTGCCCGAATGTTTGTGATTTCAGCGCCAAGTCATGCCAGCAATAGTGCAAGGAACAACCAGCTTGACATTGTCCTCCAACGCGTGCGCAACGCCGACGAGGTCAGGCATTAGTTTCCGTGTCAAGCGTGCTCATCTTTCGTAAACATGCACAGGCCTATGTGCCACTTTTCGGAAGAGCAGTTGTTAGACCCTAAAGATTCTACGACAATTCCCAGGAGCTCACCAAAGATGAAGATTGGCCAGGGAAGACAGTGCTACGAGGCACGGCCACAACGTCTGATATGCCACGACTTCCCAAGCCAAAAAACCAAGCTCGTTTTGACTGGTGTGAGCAGGGGAGGTCTCTGCTGGTTACTTGTCAGACCTTTGAGCAACGGGCGGAGGCCTTTGCAATCTCGTGGCCGGCGTCGTCGAGATTATGCAAGGAATGCCTTCCCGTGGGGAGCCTTGGCTGGATAATGGGCCTGCAGGGCCTGGGCGAAACTGCAGCGTGAGAATGCGACCGATGTGGGAAGAAAGGTGTGGCACGTGCTTCGATCCTGGCTTTGGCTGCGGAATTTAGAGGTGGAGGCAGGGTGGGGTGGCTTGCTTCGGCAAATATTAGTGCGTGCCACGCCCTGCTCTTCAGGCACTGAATTACGAGGGCCACGAGCGCTGCTGCGTTCGGTCCACGGCACTTCTGGCCCTTGGGGTGTTCAACCTGCACCTCGGCTGACTCGGTTTAAGTGTGAGCCGAATGCATCTCGACCATCCACTACCCAAACCTTCTTGTTGAGCAGCTTCAGGTTCGTGTCTATGCTGCCTCCAACTGCAATGAAGGCTGCTGGCTGGGCCACTGGCCGCTCGGATGAGACTAGTGGCTTGTAGGCTGTGTACCGGAGCAGGCTACAGGATACTGCAGAGACAAGGTGCCGGTTGATGTGTCTGACGAATATTTTCCTCTTTAACGATCAACCGTACCATGTTATTGGACTCGCAGTGTCCCTTTTCCGATCGGGGGTTGTTTGCGTTGTGCAACCCAAGACCTTGTAAAGAACCCCCAGAAAGAACAACCAGAGAAGGCTGCCCTGTGAGAACAAGCTACTCATACTCAAAACCCACATTGCAAGTGGGTTTTGCAAGGGTGCCGTGAACTAACCGGAGAATCAGGTCCAGCCTGGATTGGCCTAGATGTGCTCATACCGTCTTGCAGCCCCCAAACTGGAAATCGATGCATCACCATCTGAGGGTTCGCCGGTGGCCGGGACGTGGCTCTGGCTCAGCTGCAGTCGTGTTGGGAAGAAGGTGGCATCCAGGCACATTGGAAAGGTTTCTTCATGCACCTCGACAGCTTGGCGCTTTGACAGTCTCCCGCTGTCACGTTGCAATTCCTTGCTCGGCTACAGCGCACGCCATGCTAGGCCAGGCCAGACGGATATGTTCTCGAACGCAGTTTGACTGACAGGCGCCGTTTGCTGGCCTGGTGCTGATCGGCTTCTCTGTCGATGCGGCCCTGATGAAATTGGGAGGACCAAGCTCTTGCTGCTTCCACTCGTACATGCTTGTATGTTCGGGGCCCGAGGTTTTTGCAGCATCGCAGGGGTTATTGCTCAATCACTCCCTGGTCAGATGTACTGGTACTCGCTTCGCTATCATCGCTTTTACCGGTTCCAACGAATCAAGAACAGACCTCCCTCAGCCATGTCCTGCCTTGCACCCAAGAGCAAAGGTCTCTTCCTTCCTCGGGGAGCTCCGCGTTGAGCGCAACAAGCGGCACACGACGGCGCGCTCTATCCTCGACTGGGCGAACTCTGCCCAGAGAGGTTGTAGAGGTGTTTGTGGAGTCGGTGGGACAGTAGAAGTTGTGGACTGCTTCTTGGTTGGAACGGATTGGTTTGAGAGTCACAAGAACGGAGAGGGACCAGACAGCGAGAGAGAGCATTGCTTTTTCTGGTTGCCACAAGGAAGACGAACTACCCCAGCGCTTTCTTCTTCAAGGGCCTCGAGAGTGGCTACCTTGCAGCCAATCAAGATCTAGAAGGTCGGAGCTGTACCAAGTGAACTTTGCATGGCTTCCCTCTTTGTGCCTGCTTTCTACTAGCAGTGATGGCCTCCTCACCCACCGGAGGAATTGTTTGTTATCTGCTGCATTTCTGGGCTCGGATTCTTGGAATGGATAGCTGGTACCATGGTGTTGCAGCCTAGATCAGGTCGCCGCTATTCACACCTCAACAGGACAGCCATCAAGCTGCAAACCATGCAAAAGGCTGCGGCATGAGAGTGACATGCTGCGAACCCTTTGGACGATTGTCGGACGCCGGGTACCCTTTATGGCTTTCGACTGTAGGACATAGGGGTGGGGCTAAGCTTTGGCCTCCACAGCCCACTTCAAAAGGACATGTCATCAATCTAGCCCTGAGCTCTCCGACAGAGCCTAAACCACACAGACAGAAAATTCCGTGCTCACCCTCTGAGGGTTTTTTCCTCGTATCTGGGCCATGGAGCCGGAGAACCTTGTGCCGGAGCAGCCTCCCCTCTGCCGGAGCGCCTCTGTGCCCTCAGGCGAAGGGGAGCAAGGAGGTTTTCTAGTGGGGAAGCTCCAGGTCTGGTCGATCTGCGAATCCACTCGAAAGCAGAGGGGGTGACAAGGATTTGGTGTGTCCCTTTGTCTGCCAAGTCTTTGGCCGCCTTGGTCCTGAAGGAAATGTCGTCATTGACGGGAAGGGCATCGATTTCTTGAGCCGCTCGCACACCGTGCAGACTCGTGGCGGCAATACGTTGGGACATCTCTTTTTCACCAGTTTGCAGCCAGCCCTTCTTGGACATTGCCAGTATTCCGCTGCTAGTCGGGGGTGCATCTTTTCGAGGCTTTCCATCATTTTCTGGCACAGGTCGGGACTCAGCTGCCCTGCTCGTCTTCCGAGGTTCACCAGCGTGGACAAGCTGCAGCTTGGATGGTGCAAAAACCTGAAGGAATCAAAAAAGTTACTTTGATGACTAAGCACAGTGGTTTGCTGAGGATGGGAAAGTCACCTGTCGCTTCCAAAGGTGTCCCTTGGTCTGCCATTGCCAATGTTCTCGTTGTGAAAACTGAATTTAACTGATGTGCTTACGATCAGTGCTGAGCTAGGTCCTGCTGCGTACCTCTTCAGGGTATGAAGTGGCCCTGGCGACTCGCTCGCACAGCAAAGAATGGTGACCGTGCGCTTCGTATATCCACACCTTGCAACGAGGTCCCGCCCGAGCATCTGCGAGAGCTACAATGCACCTCAGCCTGAAGCCAGGAATGCTGAAATTTGCTCAGTGACGGCAGGTGTCACCCTGCCTAGGATTTCTTTCCCTTTACGAACAGAGCTGCTCTTGGCGGCCTTGCCTGCGGGGTGGTCCCTCCTTCTGGGTTCGTCGTCTCCAAGACAAGCTGAGGCAGTGTCTGTGGCGACCTGATCCAATCAGCCGTGCACGCGCCCTGCGGACACTCATTCTGCCAGGCCGGGGAAGGTCTCGAGGTTTCGGGATGTCCAAGGACAAGCTTGGAATTATCGGAAGCAGGGCCAGGGCACATCAGGGGACCCAGGGGACCGGCATCTGAGAGCCGAGTCGACAGGTGCACCTGCAAGGCGAGCAGGGCTCTCAAAACGAGCTCGTCTCCCGGCTTGCAGGGGGGGCGCAGCACGTCGCGAAGCGTCGCGAAGCTTTGTGAGAGCCCTTTTTGGAGCTAAAGCATGCTGAATGCTCTGTAGTCTGCATTTTTTCAGGAGTGCTTATTTGGCTCTTCTTTCGCGAATTCCGTGCTGAGGAAATCCAGGCCGGGCGCCTGCGAGAGCTCACGGTCCACAGGAACTTCTCCGTGGAGCGGGCGCGCCAGGCGCCGGAGGGGTGGGGGGCGGGCGTCACGATTCTCCGACACGGCGCGCGGCCTTGCAAAATTCCGAGCTTTGGACTGAGGCTTTGGCAGCTGTGGGAGAAGGTTCTCTAGAAGAGGCGCGGGATTCGGTGGGTTTGGTGGGTTCGCAGTCGCAGATGGTGCCCCATGAGCTTGGCTAGGCTGCGGAGATGTGCGAGAAGCTGAGTGGCCTCGAAGGCCGTGCGGTGCGCGTGCGGCCGGAGGCCGGATTTGAGAAGGGCCCTACAATGGGAGTGGTCGAAGTTTGAGGGCTGCATCGCAAATATGGCGCAGTCTGTAGCACAGGTGAAGCATCCCAAGTTCGAGTGGGGAGCGGCCACTCTGATGCAAAAAGTATACACGCTTTCGCCTATCGGAAGTTTGTGGGCCATTGGCCATTGCCATGCCATCAAGGTCTCTCACAGCAGCGTTGGCTCCCGTCTCAGTGATACTGCAGTGATACTGCTGTGTCGACATGCGACGGCTTGGAGTCCAAAGGACCCCAGTGTCAGTGCAGGGACCATGCCCAGACCTGTCTCGAAACTTATCCCCGAACCCTACCTCAGCCTGGGGCCTAAGGTGTTGTGCTGAAGGACGAGGACACGCAGGCTTGGGTGAGCTTCGCCGAGCAGTCGAGCTGGCACTGCCAGAGAGACGCTTCGTCTGCAGAGTGCCTCCCGCAATATCTAGCGCTCTGTGCGTGTGCAATTGCAAATGCAAAGAGCGGCATGCTCAGGATGAGCTGGAAATCGATCCAGAGCCTGGTTTGCAGTATGACACTGCCTGGCCTGACCAGTGCGGTTAAGTCGCCACCGCTACCCAGGTAGCCGACCAGATTCGACCGCAAACCCGCGTCCGAATTCGCCCGACTCCCGGCTTTGTACTTCTACGTTTGGAATGCTGGTCGAAGCTGCTGCCATGTTCGGGAATGGCGGCCTAGATGGGTGGCTTCTGGGCATTGAAGGTGTAGTGGTGCAGGAGGCCGGTCTAGGCTGCATGTTCCAGGTGCCGGCGTGACTCCGAAGCGCGGCTGGGGGCTCCTCCAGGCATGAGAGATGGATTGTAGTAACTACAATGTAGTTCCTGGGAATCATGAGATCGGATGGCTGAGCCAGTCATGCGATCAGCTATGGGTGAGAAGTTGGGTAGGTTGCAGAGGTCTCAATTCCTGCACTCTGCTGGGCAGGTCGACGGGACCGGCACCGTCGTCACACTTACTGGCTGCCAGGCAATCGATTTCGATTCTCTGTTCGCAAACATGGTGCCCGATCACTGTGATCAAAGAGAAGCGGACCCAGGGAGGCTTTCGATTCCGAGCGACATGACCACAATTCCTCTAAACCTATCCAAGATGTGGCCCGACCGCCACAGGTGCGAGTCCTGATAAAGGAAGGCCGTGCGGGGACACTCTGCCTGCTGCAGACTGGACATACATGCATGAGATCTTGGTCAAAGTTGTTAGAGTCGGTATTCTACTCGAGACACTGGGTAGGTGCTCTATATCTTTGTAAGCTGTGTACATGACCTGATGCAAGAGATGGTTCGTTTGCACTACCAAGTTCGATCTGAACGATAGAAACTTGGCCGTCGAACGTCCGTAGACTTTCGAATGCACCTACCTCACCCTTTGGAGTCTCAAGCCCGGTGGGAGGCGCATGGAGCGGTTTCATCAACGAACTCGAGGCACATGATGGTTGGGAGAAGGCAATTTGGGGTAATTTCAGAGCCGGAAAATGCCGTTCACAGGTCGTCGACGAGACCCGCGACGTGATCGAAGATGCGGCCCAGAGACTCAAGGTTCCGCTCCAGAAAGCGACATTTGAAGGAGCAGATTTCCTGGGCTTGAATTCTGCGACCTGAACTCAGGATGGCAAAGCCACCGAAGACGTGCTGGCCCAGCTCTGGCCCTGGGTACGACGTCTTCCCAGACCAGCAGACACCGCAGCATGTCATGCTGTCTTGCAACGTCTTGCAACACCAGCTTCCGAGGTTGCACGCTATCCTTCAGGAGGTGAGGGACTGCCGGCAGCCCACAGCGCTTGCTCTTTTTCATTGCAATCTTCTAGCGGAGAAAACAGTGTCGTATACCCCAGCGGTCTAAGGCTCTGAGTGTCCAAGACTTCCAAGGCTCTCCCCCCAGCTTTCCGCGAGCCATGGACGCCTTTCTGGCGCGTGCGTTGCTCAGCCTAACAGTTCTATCGCCCGCGCTGGCCGGCAATGCCTCGGCCTGCGAGGACGTCAACAACTGGCTGGGCACCCGTCCCATGGCCTACTCATGCAGTGGCGCTGGATGCCCAGCCGGGGACTCGGCAGACGGCCATGTCAAGATCGAAGATGGCGACACCGATTGCAACATCCTCGTGAAGAGCGGCCCAGCTACTGCCTCCGACGCCACCATTGAGGCATCAGCCCAGGCGCTCTGCACGGCCAACGGCGGTGGGAACGTGACGCCGGCATACGATTGCGACATGCGGGGGGGCGTCTACCCAGCGGCAAGCTCGCCAGCTGAGTGCGGCGATGCCTATACGAAGGCGGCGTCGGACAGCCTCGCACAAATGTGCTGCTCCAATGAGAAATCCGTGTGCCATGGCGAGGGAGGTGGAGGTGGAGCGGGGTGCGCGACAGTCGCAGATACGACCAACATCTTGTCGATGTACTCAGATGACAGCTGCTCAACAGCTATTGATGGGGTGGATCCTTATCCTGTGACGACTGGCTGCTTCTTGCTTCCCGGGGACACTGCTTTTGCCATGAAGTTGGAGTGCGATGGGCAGAATGTGTTGCTGGCAGGCCACTTTGGAAAGTGCCATTGCGACGACGACCCGAACGTTATGTACACCATTGGGGGGAGCGCCGACACGTGCATGAGCTTGAGCATGTCCGGATTGACGGGCGACATGTCCGTGTTCATGACCTTCACGACCAACCCGTGTGCTGGCGGAACTTCGTCAGGGGCTTTTGGCCAAGCCCCTCTATCCTTGGTGGCCCTTGCGGTCACCGCAGGTGTGTCTATGCTCGTCGCCGCCATGCTGAACTGAGCATTGCGCCATGCCCACAGGCTGAAGCCGAGTGAAGAGAGCCCATAGCTACTCGCAGTGCCGAGAATGTTTCATGCCCTCCTCTTGTAAAGCACGAGTTCAATGGCATGTGACATCAACTCTAGACCCACTGAGCCAGTGTCTTCGGCACTGGGACTTCGTATGCTGAGGGCAGCAAGTGTAGCTGCTGACTACCACAGCCAAGACAAAGCCTTAGTTCCCCGAATCCCAAATTGTCCAAACTCCTTTGTGTTTGAATCGGACAGGCAGCTGCATGAGCACACGACTATGATTACGAATCTTTTGAAGTTGCCGCAATATAAAAAACTGCTCTGTGCACAATAATTGTGCAGGGCGCCCCTTCGGGCATGCTGTCACTCAAGAGACTCTGCAATCTGCGAACTGCTTTGTGCACCATAATTGTGCAGGGCGCCCCTTCGGGCATGCTGTCACTCAAGAGACTCTGCAATCTTCTAGCGGAGAAAACAGGAGAGCAAGGGTGCACTGAGTAGCCAGACGGAGACGGTAACATGTTGGGGCAGAGGGTGGTCGTAGTCGCTTCCGAGGCTCAGAGCCTTCCGAGCTGCAGATCGTCTTGACCAGCAGAGACCGGGCCCAAGCCTCCACGGCTTCACATGGCTTCCGCGGGTGAGAGGGTTGGTGTGCGTTCAATGATTTCCCCGTCAGCTCCAACCCCGAGGAATGCGGACCTTTCATCAACAGCTTCGGCGCCTTTGCAATGCTCCGGGGTGTTGGCCTTCAGTGTGTCCGTGGCTAGGCCTGCAAGTCCTTGGAGGAGCTTCAGGTTCGGACTTCGGAATGGTGACTTCAATAGCTTGGAGCGTCCGAAGGAGCGCCTCAGCGACTTGAGCCAGAGCCTCTCGTTGTCAGGCCATGCAGCAGACCGGACTGTCCACGTCTTTGGTGCTGCGACAGGGGTTGCTTCGGCTCTGACCAAGCAAGAGGGAGCTCGTCGGAAGCCGGGATGTTGTTGCCAACGGGTTTTCTGGGGGGGTTAAGGAAGTGGCATGTTTAAACTCGTGGCTGTCGAAGGGATGCCACGATTGTGGATCACTTTTCAGCCCATGTGCTTTCGGCAGACCGCGAGAGGGAAGGCAGGAACTGCTTGTCCAGTCTACTGGTTGACAGAGCCTTTCCAAACATACGATCCGAGACGCAGCTGAGGTTACCAACCTCGGAGAGCGCGCGGCGAGCGCGCTGCGGTACCTTGGCACATCGTTGTCCCTTTTGCTTGGTAGGCTTCGTTCGCTGTTGAAGTGCCAGAGCATCTCGAGCCAGGTACCTGGAGCAGCTGTTCGAGACGCCGCTCGGAGGGCAGTAAAAACTCCGCTGAGAATTGAGCCCCGAAGCCCCGAACAGCAGCACGACACAGGGATCATGCAGAGTTTGTCAGCCAGGTTGTGTTGTCAAGCTGTTTGCCTCTCTTCGTAAAACGTCCCGAATACGTCACGAAGCCTTCTGCTTGAGGCTTCCTGCGCCGAAGGCCCGAACGGGAGCCAGTCTGTCGTGCACGGGCATGTGGTGATGCACTGTTGAGGCTTGGAAGGTCGTATTCATGCCCCTGCCCCCGCATCCACAAGTGAGTCACGGCTACGGGCAAAGAAGAGCCCTTGGGCGAACCATTCCTCGACTCTCAAAATCGTCTTCACTCAATTTTGCCGGAGGTCCCGCAGCAGAAGCCCAGATATCGCGTGCCACGGTCAGAAGTGTGCCTTTTTACTAGGAAGTAGGTGAAGCTGCACTTGCCCTGTCATCTTCCATGGCCTGTGCAATTTCGTGGCGGAGGATAGCGGTGGTGGCGATTTGTTGTCTTATATTTCTGATTTTGGCATTACGCATGTGCATGCGACATGTTCTAGCCTGGGCCGTTATCCTAATTCCTTCCTTCAGGTAGTCTTGCATGTCGACGCGGACATCTTCGCTGCGGGTGTACCAGTGCCTTGCGGCACACAGAGTTTCATTTGGTTTAGAGCAGCGAATGCGAACGAGAACATCGACCTGTGGAGCATGCCGATGACTCACCAGCTTGACGCTTGACGTTTGAGATCTGCGTGGGGGTGCTTTCATCAGGTGCAGATGGTCTACCAGGACCCAACTCGACCTTGGTGCACCAGGGCTTGTGGACTTCAGCTGACTTGGGCGTTCAGGGTGTCCTGGAAAGGCTCAAATACCGAGCTGCAGTCTCGTGTGTGCAAAGCCTCCCAGCCCGAATCTGAGCTCCACCCGAGCGCCGATGCAACCTTGGAGCAGGAGCAACTTCGGTCGCTCGTTATTCCAGATCCTTTTCTGCAAGATGCTTCTTTGCATCAAGGGTGGGCCTTGTCAAGAGTCTTCAGGATTTCCTGATACAGCAGTGATGCCCACACACTCGAACCCACGCAGATCGATGATCAATGCCCACAAAAGCCAACAGCACACGCGTCTTTCACAAGCAACCAATTCCGATGCTCAGAACTGGGCCTGGAGGTTTGTAGAGAATTTAGGTTGGAACGAGGTTCTCAGAGTTCTCAGACGAGGAAAACGTAGTGACAGAAGCCTTGCAGGCCATCGCCCCACAGGGCGAGGGCTGGTCCTGGCCGCAGCGAGGTGAGAGGGTTCAGGGGTTTAGGGCCTGAGTTTGGGTTTGGAAGCGACTTGAGTTTGGGTTTCAGGCCTCACGGATTTAAGGACGGAGCTTCTTCGATATTTGTTTCACTGCAGCTGACTCTTTGGGGATGTTTTACCCTGAAACCGCCTTGCGAACAGGCTGGGCTGGTGAGGAGCAAATGGTGCAGCACCTCCAAGCGTCCCTGCCCGCAGGCCAGGGCCGGGCATAAGCACTGCAGAAGTTGCGAGACATCTTGGAAGGTCGAGAAGACCGAACGCCATAGAGCCTCGAGGTATCTCGCAGAGATTGCAACCGACTCTGGGAGCCAGGTAAGGCCGAGCTTTGCCGCGAACAGGAGTTCGAGGAGGCTTCGAAGGTCGCGAAGAGGCCACGGTCAGGGCTTGGCACATTTTGGCCCATGTCTGACCATGAAGTAGGCATTGTGTGGGAGAGACGTAGTTTCAGTGGTGGTGCACGTAGTTCCCTTGAGTACCTAGACGTTGCTCCGCTTTCCTTAACACTCGCTGAAACATCCCGTTAGCCGAGGTTAGAGGAGTCTGGCCTCGTCGCCACCGTGGAAGAAGGCAGAGTTGCACAGACAGTTACGCATCATTTGCACATCGGCAGTCCGCTTCTGCTGCCGTCCACATGCCATGCCGTGCAGGTTCGAGCGACCCTCTGAAGGACGCCAGCATGGAGGCGAGATGGCGCGTTCTCGTGAGCGCTGCAGATCATCTCCTTGCCAGAGGTGCCAACAAGCTGGACCGGTAGCCTAGCTCGGGGGAGCCGTGTTCGGTTCCGAGATGCCGCGAGGCACATGCCGTGCTTCGTGTGTTCGTCCTGAAGCCTGAGCATGCCGGCTTGCAGGGTGCTTTTCAGCCGGTCGCTACCCAAAGCTCAAGGATTCCTAGTGCGCAAGCCAAGCTCTATGCAGGTCGGTCTTGCCGAGCACCATAGATCCCTCCTGCATAGGCCACCTGCGAGGGGTCTGAGCAGGCATCGAGCTTCAGAGATACGGGGAATCGGGAGTGTCAACTGACGTGTCTGCTTTTTTCCGGCGGGGATAGGGGGGGGATGTGCAACGTAAAACCCGGTCTATTTGCCAGCTGAACTGTGTGCTTTAAACAGACAGCCAAGCAAAAAGTCCAGGCAGTGCAACATCTCCCCAGCCCAACCCCGAGCTTGCGAAAGGCTTGATTTGCGATCAAGTGTTCCACATCAAAGAAGATGGATCGCGCGAGTTGCAGTACCTTAAGCTTGTTTGAGGCTTCGAGTTCTTCATGTTCTGTTGCGGCATGAGGGATTTGAGTAGCTATCGGGAGGTCTTCAGGCCCAGCTTCTGTGTTTTGCTTGCGTGGGGTTTCGCCTTTTCGGTTAAGGTTAGGGCCTTGCTAGGGCTTTGCTCCCACGATGGCATCTGAGGTATTTTGTTTGCCTTCCAAAGAGCTTGGCAGTGCCTCCAATTCCCGGGGACATGTTGGATGCTGCTCCCGCTGCAGAGCGAATTCAACCAGGCCGGGTTTGCCAAGTAGCGTAAATGCGGCCGGTAGTCTGGAGCTCTGGGTGCCGAGTGCCGATCGCTGGCAAATTCCGCTTCCGGGAAGGTGTGCGCGTCCGGGTGAACCCACCGCCTGGAAAGGACCGGCTGTCAGCGTCAGCATCAGAGAATCATGAGTGAATGTCGTCACTGCCACGTTCCCATGTGTCCTTGTGAGGACCCTGCCTATGGCTGGGGACGCATCGCAAGTAGCGATGTAGGCCGGGTGGGTGAGCCTGGCATCCACAGCCTGGTCTATTTCAGGAACGAGGCGACGCTGCAACCTTGACCGAACTTGGCAGGCATTGTACAGCAAGTTCATCTGGATGGAAAGGTGGATGTGCCCCTTGGTGGTTTTCCAGTCGATGCTCAGAAGTAACGGTGCTTACTAGCAATTGGGACATCAACAAGCTGCTTGCTCACAGGCTAGTCGAGCCGCGATAGTCTGCGGGCACGAAAGGAACTATTTTTTGGAATCTTTGCAAGACCGGCACTTGAGTTCGACACCTTTCGAATCTCTAGTCAGCACATATGCGCTCAGGTTCTTTATGTCCGAGGAAAAGCTTTGGCATGCGGCGCTCCAGGATCTGGATACGGTCCCTTCGGCATTCGTTGGCTGAAGCGCTTTGTTGCTCAGGGCAGTTGTCCATGTGAAGTTGTCGTTGCCCAGTTTGGTCCGAGAATCGGGTACTAAACGTTTGCAGCGGTCTCGACCACTGGGCTTGTCGAGAAAGTGACAAGCGAGGCAGTCCTTGAAATGGGTCGGGTTTCCGAACTGAAGTCGCAAGGGAAGACACCTGAGGAGAACCTGCCCATGACGCTCCGGCCCAACTGTCCGGTGTGCCAGCGACCCTTTCCGTCAGGACGAAGGGCGATTCGGCAGGGTCTAGATCTGGCACTTCGGATAAAAGGATTGGAGTTTCTTCTTTTCCAGTTTTTTTGAGACTTCAACCTTCAATCTTGCTGCACAGGACAGCAGTTGAATCTGGACATTGCGATGGATTCGCAGATCCGGAGGAGCTCCCCACTCGTTGATTTGTGGTTGCAAAGTTTACAGTAGTTTCTGAGATCAGTGACTACGGTTCAGTTCGTGGTTCAGGTTGGAGGTCGTGGCGCATTCTGCTTGACATGGCAGCACGCATCCTTTTGGGTTGTCCTTTCATGTTTATGCTCTTCCCTTCTACTGTTCTCATCAGTCTAGACTGATGTTAAAATGAGAGCTGGCCCCCGACACCGACTGGCCTTAAGCTCCGGGAGGATGAAGAAGCTGATGGCCGGGGCGCGGCACGAGCGGAATGGCCTGGACCGCGATGGTGCCTCGAAGAGAAGGGGGGGGGAAGGGCCTTTCGGTTTGTGTTTTTGGAGGCAGGTTGGAGAGGACATGACGTACTGGTAATGCTCGGGGCAACAGGACTGACGGCTGAGGGCTTTAAATGGCTGATCGCAAGTCCACTCGCAGTGAAGTCTGCTTCACTGGTTGGCGGTATGGAGACCATTGTCTCGAGAATGAAATCTATCAATGTCAGTCCAACCCGAGGCGGTGTACCCAGGCTCCTGAGATCTCAGACGCACCGGGAGGACAGCTTTAGTCATCTTGCGATCTTCGACATTCCCTCCCTCGGTGGTGAGAGGATCGGTTCAGGTTTGGTCCGGATTGAGGAAGGCAGGCAGAGTTCGGTCAGTTCGCCGCTGTTATGCCCGTAGACTCCAATTAAAAATGTAGCTGCCCACACAAGGCTGTCTGACTCTCCCAAAAGAGAGGAATATGACGTAATGGAATAAACAACAGTACTCGTAGGACGTATCTGACAGATTTGTAGACGCTCGAATCTGGCGTCTGCCTGACATCCAAGCACGCCCTGAGTAGCACAGCTGCACACTGAGACAGACGAGGAACTCAAGTGCAACATCTGCTTCGACCTCGTCGTGTCGCCGGTGACACTGCCGTGTGGTCGCGTGCTGAGGCTTGTGCTCCACTGTGCCGGCATGCTGCTGATCGTGGACTTAGGTCACACCTACTGCAAGCACCACATCCAAACGTGGCTTCTAGAAAACGACAGCTGTCCAGTTTGCCGTGTGCGAATCCTGCACTTCAAGGACCGCCCCTTGACACTTCTGTGATAGAAGAGGCGTTTTGCCACATTCACTCCACTGCAGTGCAGGACCGCGAGAAAAAGCCGAGGCTGCGCATGTGGAGAGGGGTTGCCGGTTTCAACGTGTTGTTTTATCTGAAGCGGATCTCTTTTTGCTCAGCGAATCATGCCAAGCATGACCTGTTGGCGGCTGTTGGTTGGCAGGCAACTTCGGACAGCAGCACCACTTTTCCAGACGTCCCTGAGGGAGACCCGGCAGCAGCTGAGAAAGCAAGCTTCTTGGATGTCGACCAAATCCTGAATCTTGAGAGTCTTCAGGACGAAGATGGAAAAGGGGGTCAGCATTCTGGAGAGGGCTTCGAGCTCCACGTCAACAAGATGCCTCTTGCCTTTGCCTGGCCCGTCAACACTGGCACTGCAAGTGTTTGAAGGATGTTCCCGATGCTCACATGCAGTCCAACATGGGATCGTTTAGGCTGTCCGAAGGTTACACTGAGCTTACGGCGGCACGGTTTGGGCGTGCCCTTCTGAATCGTTCCTTGTTCCATTCTGATGACCCCGTTACTCACCTCACCACTGTTATTGTGTTCGAAATGTTGCTGTTCCTATGAGGGTCAGTGGCTAGCGTTGGGTTACACCTAGAACAGGACACTGTAATGCCAAACCACCGTACTCAGAAGCATCACAAGAACTGAAGCAGTCTGTGGAGACGATATTTTGGCAAAATGCATCGAAATTTTAAGGCGATCTGAGTTAAAGCCGATGTCAGCTGCGTGTTCTGCATTTCTCAGCACCTGTAGTGTAGCGGCAACATACAAGCTTCCCATGCTTGTCACTGGTCCACAACTCAGGTTGGAGACCCAAGTGATTCGTTTTTTCCAAGACGAGGCACAGTCGGGGTCGTTTATCGCTTTCGAGTCTACAGCTGGCATTTTGCCAGGCTCGACGGGTTTGCTTTGCATGCTTCACCTGACTTGTCTGCCTTACGATTGCAAATGAGTGCAAGCAAATCCAGACCCACATGGCGAGCCGCCGAGCGGCGAGGTGCAGAACAGAATCTCGGAGGTGGCCAGTGAAGTCTGGGATGTCATCGAGCGGCGGCAGGACCCTGGCGTTTCTGACGCTCTCTGGAAGGGGGAGGCAAAGGCACTCCATGTCAAGCAGTTCAGTTTCGGGGCTTACAGGGCAATGCCCAAAGTCCTGCGGCTCATACCCCAAGTCCTCCATTTCTGAACCCTGTATACAAGCTCCACATAGGCCCTCCTAAATCCTAAAGCTTACACCTTACATGACTCATGTATCCCTGTCAGGATGGCTTCCTCACCCGTCTGCGTAATTTCCTGGACCAGTTCCGGGCACCAGGCCCAAGTCTTAGACGTGGGTGGCAGGAGTCGAAGGACATTTAATCGTGGCTATGACTATGAGGATGGTCAGGCGGGTTTTCGAGTGTTGAAGACGAGGTGTCTAGAATCTTGGTTTCGGACGGGTTGCACGATCCTAGCCGCAGAGTTTTACGCTTTGCTCGGATTTCTATTTTCTGCCAGCTCGAGTCAAGCTGCAAGTGTTGTAGCGGGAGTCTTAGTAAGGAGCGGCGTTTGATCATTGCCAGTCCTCTAGCCAGAGATTGGAACGCCGAGGTCAGGGTAACTACCCTGCATCCCTTTTTTTAATTTACGCCTTTTGTTTTTTTGTCGCACGGCTGCCCTGGCGGCTCAGCTTCTTAAACCAATGATATCTTACTGTCAGCAGTGCTGTCGCCGTAGGTTCCCGCCTTGTCAGCGGAAGCTGAACGAAAACCAGACGCCTAGTGGCCATCTCAGGGGTGAGCGAGCTTCTGAAGCTCAAGAACATGGTTGGGCCAGACTCTCCGCTGCCGAACACGACGCTTGGCGACCTTCGAGAGGCTGAGCGTACCTGCAACACACCAGTCGAAGGCTTTGCGTTGCATTCTGCCTCATGCATAGAGGGAAACTGTGCATAATTGGAAGCTGTACCTGCTCTAGGAAGCTCCTCGTAGAGTTCAGTTTACAAGACCAGGAAGGGGGCTACGCTGCTCATGATGGCCAGCGAACTTGGCTTAGAGGAGCATGTGCACGCCTCTCTCTCTCTGTGTGCGTGTGTGTGTTTGTGCAGATGTTGAGTTGAGATGCTTTTCGTACTGATGCTTTTTTGACAGGACACGGTGGAGGAACTCTTGAAACTCTCTGCCGATCCGTGGAAGACAACCTCCGCTCCTCGGCAAGATCGAGTCCGGAGAGCAAGAGCCAGATAGAGCCAGTCTTTTGCGCCTTTTCGTTAGCTGTTACCAGTAGCTTGGTTTTGCTTCGTTTTCCGAGGCCGGCTTTGGTCCGGGGACTTCTGCCTTGCAAATGGCCTCCGGGCAGGGACACGCAGCGGTGCTCAGGCTGGTGCGGCGTCGATCGTCCAGTTTTGCCGATGCCCTCACAAGAATCTAAGAAGAGTCCCCGAAACGACCCTGGAATGCAGCAACCATGAATGTGTGTCCTGCCAACTCAGATTGAGCTAGACTCCATGCAACAGGAAGCTGCTTTCAGCAGAGCAGGGTGTGCTCGACTCAAACAGCGCCGCCCTCTGTGCAGACGCACTAGGACCGCCACAGATGAAAGGTTGAAGCAGGGTCATGAAAGGTAGCCGCGCATATCTTGCCTCGTGTGGCGATGGCGCGGGACAACTGCCGGCATTCATATTTGGCAGGAGCGGCGATTGAGGGACACCACATTGCCTGTGTTGCTCGTCTTGCATATGTAGACAGAATTTGCAGATGCGGGAAGTGGCCCGCCATCCTGCCTACCGGTCTAGCGAGGTGGAGGAGCTTCTACGCATTCCTGAAATTCCTGATGTCGCTGATCTGCGAAATTGTTTCTCAACTGAATAGATGAGCTTAGCGAGAATTTCGGTCTGGCCGCTCTAAGCACCTTCTTGCTGGAGTGTTCGGGTGTGACGGCGTGTGCGGGCAGCCGCTCCCTCCATCAAGGCATGGATCTGACTGGACTTCTCACAGCAGTACAGGCTGGGAACACAGAGACTTGGCAGAACGAATCGAATTGCAGAGGGCAAGCATGCAGTCTCCTTCACTCCGTGTGTTCCGAAGTTCCGAAGGATATCATATCCATGCTGGTGGAGCACCGGGCGAACATCGAAGAGCGCACCGCGCATTCGGGCCTGCTGGTCTCGAAGGCGCGGTTCGGAGTCGCATTCGCTCAGAGAGGATCGTAACCGCCCAGCCCGGCCAGGCTGGAAGTGAAAAAGTGAACGGGCCTTACCAACAGGCAGCGACCCCCCCCCCCCACTTCACTCGATGTCGGTTTCTCACGAATGCCGTTTGCGTTTCAGGTGGGAGAGTATTGTGGGCGGCCGCTGTACGAGAACCTGTTTGGGGCAGTCGTGTGCTTTGACTGCACCAGGCTGATCTGCTCCGGACCGGAATTGATCTTTGAAGGAAGATCTTCACCCTGAAAATCCCAGGTATTGCAAGGGATGGTGGAAGATTGCCCTGTCCCGAGCCAACATGGAAGAGACAGAGGACAGGCCTTCAACTCTGGTCCTTCGGGGCGTGCATCCTTCTTTGGCTGAGTGGAAGAAGAAGCGCTCTCCTTCGGCGTCTTTGTGTGGAGCATGCACACTGGCCGGGGTGCAGGGATTGCGAGCAGACGTCCGAAGAAAGCCAGCAAGCAAGAAAGCAAGAAAGCAAGAGAGACAGAGAGAGAATCACAGTCCCTTCAAAGCCCATGTGGCCGAGGGACCTTGACAGTCCCTCATCGGTGGAAGAAGAAGGTGTGGTGTTAGGTGTCGATGCACTGTGCACTGAACTTGGGGGGGACAGGACTATTTCTTACATCGCATCTACTTTCCAGGACAGTTGATGGTTTTACGTATCCTCATATCGTCCTGTTGAGTCCGAGAAAACCTTATCACAGTCCCTTCAAAGCCCCACAACACATGGGGGGCCCATGTGGCCGAGGGACCTAACCCGTCCCTTACGCCCAGTGGAAGAAGAAGGTGTGGTGAGCTGTTGTTCGTGGGCTTGCTCCGGGGTCCTCTGGCGGACGGATGGCGGATCATTCCTCAACATGGGGAGGTATGCACAGACTCGAACCGAGTGGGCAGGCTTTGGCAGTGGCCCTGGCTCCGTCCCCCTGGCAAGCAAGCACGAGACACAGAGTGCAGCCTCTTTCAAGGTTACGTTTACAGGCGGACTTGAGTTGTGGCCCAAAGCGAACGAAGACAATTCAGAGGCTGATGCAGCCCTGCTGTCGCAAGAGGCTCTTGCTGGTACGAAGGGCTGTTGTGGTGACACAGACGGAGAGAATCGAGCTGGGACCGCAAGAACTGGAGGAAGCAAAGGCAAGGGAAACGTTGCATGCGAATCATACAGAGAAGCTTGCTGGGTGATGCAGTGGAGCCGGTCGTTGCAGACTGGGACGAATCATATTGGGCGACCGACCTCAGACCAGCAGTGGAGTGAACTGGAATAGCTCTGAGCAGGACGATCTCGCTTTGAGCCAAAGGGACAGCTGAGATCTTGCGGAACGATGCTTTAAAGGAAGGAATCGGACTGCTTGTCGCAACCGCTGTCCGCCAGGAGCGCTTCATCTACTCAGCTCCGGCACCCCATGAGGAGACGGCGGGAACCAGAAGCACCCGGGGCAGAGCTCCAGGGGTCTGCAGATATCGGTGTGTTGTCCGAGATTTGACAACTTTTCCAGGCTTGCCTGTGGTAAGACCATTCAGGGACATTCATCTACAGGAGTTTAGCTGTTTCTGATTGTTCAGACTTTCTGATCACTTCATGTCAGAGCAAGGGTTTGAGGTTTTCCTAAGACCTCCTCTTCAAACTCCCACCCCCCCCACTCTCCCGCTCCATGGTCTCCTTTGCAGTCGTCATCCTCAGCCAGGATCTCACCGAGCCGCCCACCGGTCAGTGGACGCTCAGCGGCGGCCGCCGCGAGGTGCCCCGCTGCACTTTTGCTTCAGAGGTCCACTGTAGGCAAAGGTAAAGCTCAGGGCTTTAAAAGGGTGAAGGGCTTCGATTTCAGCCTTGTGGGTGGGTGACCTCTAGGAAAAATGCTTGCATCTCCCGAACCTTCGCCTCTGAATCTGACCTCATGCTCAAGCATGCTAAGACGTAAACAAACCAATGCCGAAGGACGGCCCATCACCGCCCCCTGCGCCCATCATCCAGTGGATCGCGCGGGCTGGACAGGCTGGTGGGCAGCCAAGGGAAAGTAATGGGGTGGTGGTGGTGGTGGTGGTGGTGCCGCTGGCACTTGATTCTTGGTCAGTTTTTTCGCAGCAAGTCATTCTTCTGCAGAGGCGGCAACCCCTCTGCTGCTGGCCACGCAACTGGGCTTGGGAGGGGTCGTCGAGCGGCTGCTGGAGTCTGGGTCTCGGCATTCTGCAGTGCACGAGCTTCTCATTCTTGTTTCGGCTGCTTGTCTTGACGTGTCGAAGGACACTTATCAATGGTTCGTTTTGGGTTGATTCCAACCGATGATCTGCCACACAACCCTAGGTCAAAAGCCGACCTCAATGCAGAGATGCCTGGCACCAAACAGGTGCGACCTGTCCATCATCTGGATGACTCGAAGGTTTTGCGATTTGATGTGCTGTGGTTCTACGGCTCTGACAACTTCCATGCTATCCGCATAAATTTGCGTCGCGGTTGCTGTCGAGATTTGCAGACTTCATAAAGGTGCCCGTGCACATCGCCGCGATGGTCGGGGAACTTGGCGTGATTCGAGCTCTCATCCAGGCAGCACCCAGCCTGGCGCAGAGTTCTGCATTTTGGCTGCGAGTTTCGTCGTGAATCTGCAGATGCATCAAACAGCAGCTGCACAACGCATATACTGTACATGTAATTACATTGTCTTGGGGATCTGTACCGTCGAAGATGCCAGGCCAAAGCAAACCTGGCACTCCCGGACGCAGCTGGCTTCACACCTTTAGCACTGGCGAGCCATGCTGGACACCCGAAGGCTGTTCAGGAGCGTGGTAAGGGCTTGAGCGTTGGGGTGTCAATTGGTCTCTCGATTAGGTTCTGTGGGAGAGGGCGTAGCTGAACTGTCCGCATCTCCCGCCAGCTGCAGTACAAGCCTTCTTGCAGGAGCTATTGGATGCCGCAGCTATGCCTGAGCCGCCTGGGGAGGTACCATCGCCGGTGGCACCTTGGCCAGCCTGAAGCGCGGTCTGCTTGTAAACATCTTTTGCGTGCGAGGTTGTGTGTCATGATTCCGGGTGGTGCCAAGGTACAGATTATTGATTTTGATCAACTTCCAGGTTTTGCTTTTGACCTCACGCCCTGAATCCAGAATTGCTTCAGGTGCTAGCTGCTGGATGCGGGAGCTACGTCATGGAGGGCAGAGCAGGCTTGCTGTCAGCACGGTTGCAAATCTGGTCGAGTTGAGTCCGGAGTGTTTACCGTCCCCAGGGTGACGGGATGAAGTCCAAGTTGTTCGTTCTGAAGGGGACCATTCGCTTCGAGAAACTTACCGTGGTGTAGTTCCACTTCAAACGATTTTTTTATCAGGTGCAGAGGGGCTCGTGATCCGAACCCCGAGTTTGGAAGCCACATGCAGTTGAGATGATGGTGGCCTCGGGAATTTCCAGAGTTGTGCATGGGGCAACGACGAACACATCACCAATCTCCCATCCACACTGCAAAACGGCTGATTCTGAGATCATTTGCTTTTGTATCGCGTCATTGAAGAAGGGACAAGTACGAGAGCCGGCATCTCCTGCTGTTGGTCAAAGACTTTTGTGTGTGTGTGTGTGCATGAAGGACCTCCTGCCGGTGCGGCAGCGTACTGCGACATTGTGAAGCTGCTGTTGGATGCCAAAGGCCAGGGATGGAGCAGTTATGCAACGGCTGAGGCGTCTCAGGTGCAAGGTACCGACAAGGAGGTTTGCAGGCCAAGTCCCAGTGTTCGTTTTGGGATGCTGGGCCTTCTTCACGCTGGCACAATGGCTTTCGGTTCACTAGAGCTAGCGTGTTGCTTTGACCCCAATCAAAATTGGTCTTACAGGCATACTTGAGTCGGAAGACTCATGTGAATCTGAATTGCACTTCTTACTTCTCTTTCTTGAAGCTTCGGTGTAGATGTTGAATGCAAATCTCGTTGCCCGATCTTCCGACAGCTGATACTCGTAGCTCAAAGCACGATCCGCTGGCCGGTGTGCAAGGGGTTTCTAGACCTGCGTCGGGAGGAGATGCTTCGACGGCTGCACTGGAGGCTCGTGCCCGGTCAAGGAAAAGACGAAAGAGAGTGAGAGCGCGGCGGGATGAGTGGGAGAGCCTGGGAGAAGCTGCGAGATATTGCGAGCTTCACAGCTTCGAGAGGCCGCGGCGGTAGCGGGGACTTCGGCAGTGCTCGCGGAGCTGGCACGGAGGGGCGCGGCTGTACAGAAGGCAGGGCGGGGAGGGGCCAGGGGGGAACACTGCTTCCAGGAATCGAAGGGGACAGGAATCTGAGTTTTCAGATCTTCCATGGGCTCATCACGCCCGAGCTTTGGCTTTGCTCTGCCACCTGCATGTCGAAATTGCATTTCATGGCTCAAGCTTTCACAAGGCCTCAGAGACTTGCTCGGACCCACTTGGAAGACATGGCTCCGGCAATGAAGTCCGCGATGAAGTCCAAGGCCATGAAGACCAACGCCAAAGCCATGACCAAGAGCCAGCTTGCCGACCAGCTCGCCACCAAGTCGGAGCTCAAGAAGAAGGAAGTCCTGTCGATCCTGCAGAACCTTTCCGAGATCGGTGCCAGCGAAGTCACCAACACCGGCAAGCCACCTTGACAGCTTTTGTAAGCTCATGAATGTTTGCTCTGATGCCAAAGCAAGCTCCTGTGCGCACTGTGCGCCTGAGGTTTGTTCTGCCAGGGCTGTGCATGATCAAGACTCGTACCTTGGCTGATTAGCTCATTGCAACTACAGGTGGAGAAACATCATCTAGGTACTCGTATGCCGGGGGATGTTACCGGCCCGAGCTGCAAGGTCAAAAGCCTGCCACCAAGGGTGGCGTCCGCATGATGTTTGGCAAGGCACGGCAAATGAAGAGAATGTCTGGACATTCTGAAACGCAGCATCTCGAAAGCTTACACTGAAAAATGCAGGAAGTGCAGGTCAAGGCACAGAAGGCGGGACAAAGGGCGCCTTGTAGCAAGGCCTGTGGTCACTTCATGTGCAGCAATTTTCCGGCAGGCGAAGACCATCGTGAAAGCCACTCCTGTGGCTGCACTCAAGAACCAGATGTAGGGTGGCCTTGAGCTCGCAGCAGTGCAGCCGGCCGCGTGTTTGTCGATGGGGTTCGATGGTGAGCACGTGAGCTTGCTGCGGCACGACTGATGTCGTGCGCAATCAGACGCACGCAATGTGTATCGGCAGATGTTGCGAAAAAACAGAGAGTGTTGCTCTTTCGGGAATGAGAGGTTGGCTCGTGCTATGCAGCGGCGCTTTCGAACTCTTTAGTTTCACGACATCAGCCTGGGTTACTCAGTCAGCCTGCCAAGACCATCAACACAGCGCCCCAGGTATGCTACTCTGTATTTCCGAAAACTATGCTACCTGTTTGTCAAGGCAGTTTTCCTTAAACCTCATACATGTGTAAAATTGAGCCATGCGAAATGCATAGTTGTTGCATCTTCTCGTTTTTACCTGCCAGAATATACTGATAGATTGTTGTTGCATCGGACTCCTCCCTTGAAGTTGAATGGTTTCTTCAGAAAGTCAGAATCAAGTGCCATCATGGTTTTGGGCATATCTGAACTTTCACGGAAACTTCCGAACTCCGAAGCGCGGAAAGTCGACACCCGAATCGAAGCCGAAACCGCAAAAGGCTGGGCCTAGTGGCAGCTCGCCGCTGATTGCTGCATTGCGCCGCGCTGCAACCCCGCGGTTGGCGCTGAAGGACCAGGCCAGGAAGGTTTTGGCCCTTGCCCAAGTCCACGCCCCATCTTTCAAAAGGCCCGCGAGCCGCCGCCAGAACCAGTGGTGGGACCACAGGCGCGAGCATTCACAGCAGAATCGCAAAGACACGTAAAGCCATGCCGTGGCTTTTGCCCGGAGGCAGAAGCGGCACGCGCCTTGCTGGATCTTGGTGCTTCGCCGTTGCTCAACGCGGCGGATGGTACCAGCCTCCTAGCATGCACGGACTCATAGGTCTCTTTCGGAAAGTTTGCATGACATTCCAGAGCTGCCGTCGCTACGAGTCTCGCAGCGTCCGGATGCTCCTAAGTCAAGGTGCCCTCATGCTTGTGGCAGCACTGGATGACCAGGACGAGAAGCGCCCAAGGGGTGGGTTCGGACTGCTCGGGTGGTCTGCATGAATACGAAGCGACGTGAAGCCATATGAAACTGAACCAGGCTGAACTGGGCTTGCCAGCCGAGGTTACACCCATTCCTGGGGCAGACATCCGCATCTGTGCAAACGAGAGCTCCAAAAACCCCAAGCCCCACACCTTACTGTGCGGAGAGGAACTTGTCAAATGTGATACTCCCGGTACACCCAACAGTTTCCAATACGATCAGCACACTGAGCACGTTGTAGGCTGAGAAAGTAACTGACATTGCCGAACCAGGACCCCAACGGAACGACGACACAGAAAATAAGCGGTTCAGGAGCTGCTTCAGCGGCTGCTGGCTGCCGGCGCGGAGGTGGCAAGTCCAAGTGCCTGCAAACCCTCCCTAAACTCCCGGACTCCGATAGGGTGCTAGACCTACGCTAAACTCTGCATAGCCTCGAGCTAAGCGGAAGGGTTCGACGTAGTGCCGAGCCCCGAGCCCGAGCTTCGCCAGTTGGATGCCGTCCGCGGCCCCAGCGAGGCGCTGGCAGTGGTCGGAAGCCAGCCTCAGGAGCCCTACGATGCTCATGTCTGGTCATTATCATCATGATCCCAACAGCTCCAGCGCTACCCTGCCCCCCTCTCCCTCCCACCCACGCAGTGTCACCATTGTCAGTGTCGCCACACTGCAGCAGGCACAGCAGGAGGAGGAGGAGGAGAAGCACCACCGGCAGCAGCACGACAGCCACTGCTAGCAAGCACTTCACAGCTTTCCAAGCCGCAAGTTGCTCATCGCGTCAGCACCACAAGAATCGTGGGTGGTAATGCTGAACTGCTGAATCGCCATAGCAACCGTTGACAACCACGAGCAGTTACTAGCAATACTTGTTTTACTAAGGGTATCAGAATGATAGAAATACTGGGCCAGTAACAGGCAGATCTTCGTATTCGGGTTGAGGGCAACGGGATGCTGTTTTGAGTTCAGGGTCTGTCAGAGCCTGGCAAGCAGTAAGCAGCAGTTGTCAGGATTGGAGAACGATCGATGATTTGCTCATGCACATGGAAGGCCTCTCGGCTAACCGCAGTTGAACAGTGCACTCAGCGTTTGCATTCAGCTCGTTTTCTCTGCTGAAGCAGCTAGAGCCCGCAGATTGTCATCTCCAAACAGCCAGGCACCTCGCAGCCACTGCCTCCGAGTGTCCTCTGTCCTCGGGGGCATTCCATGGAGAGGTCGGGCTTCCTTTCGGGTCTGAGTTGCCTGAGCTTAGAAAGATGACTCGGTAGGTGTATCGGTATCTTAGTCTGTGCACGCCTTTGACAGCAGAGCCCGGGATGTTGAGCAGTGTTGAGCGGATCGGTACAGGTCATTGAATCTGCAACAAGTACTTCATTTGTAAGAGACCTTGGAGCATAGACAATGGGAGCTCTGTCAGCCTTTTATGGATATTGCAGTTCTTTGCAGTACCGACACGTGCACTTCCAGGCTCTGCAAAGCCCGGTGCCACCGGAGACCTCATTGTGACAGCTGTCGAAAGCAGGAGCTCCACAGCAGCCCGGTGTCCTGGCACAGCATAGAAAAAGTGGTTTGCGATTGCACCAGCTTTCATTCGAGATGCAAGCCAGTCAAGTCAAAGCCACCAGGTTTAGGATCTCCAAATGCCACGAAAGGGAAGAAGTGGTCATAGAGGCCCTGTGCAGCGACAGTGGTGGAAACCAGAGTTCCGCGAGGTGTACTGGACTTGTTGGCCCTGTGACTACGACCTGTGCCCTTTGACAGCACTGACGTGAAAAGGGCTGAAGTGCTTCAGACACGCAAGCTGGCAAAAATGTGTGATTTTGGGGCAAGATGGCTTGTTTTGGTTGAGGTGGAATGCCAGGCAAACCGAAGACAGGCAATTATTTTGAAAGCCTTTTCCATGGGGCAGGCATTGACTGCGCGCGGGTACCCCGCTTGGTGCAGTTCCGAGAAGGCTTCGACCCACTTGCGGAGGATGCCGCTTGACCGGAAAATATGCCCGAAGCAACCAGCCGTTGAGAAGGAGGGAACAGAGTACATGTTTTCGTTGTGGTTCCAGGGCATTTTTTGTTTTCGGTTTGTTCGGGCTTCGGCCCAGTAACTGATTGGTGACCTTTACACGCAGTTTCCGGCTGTAATCCTGTCGACTACCAACCAGCCCTCAATGCGCAAATCTACTGCTACAAGCTAAGCTTTCAGACATTTTCGGAGATCTGGGCAGACCCCGAATTCCCGTCCGTTCCCCTCATTTCCAAGCCTTCCAGGCCTCGGCTTCGCTGCCGGAGGGGACGCCGGAGGCGCTGAGGCCTCCAAGCCGCCACTACCTCCATGGTTTTTGGGTTGGGGTTCCTGGTGACCTTGAGGCTTGCGACATGGTTTGACCCCTTGTGCGTTTGCAGTGTGCAGGAGCCCGTCCTTCCTGACTACCAGGATGGATGGCTGGAACCTGGACTAAATGGCTAAACAGTATCTTCTTCGTGTCGAATTATGCCACATCTCGATGGACGTGGCTGCCTGCAAGGTTCACCATTCTTTCAGATAGGAACAGCATGAGAAAGCGTTTCATGATTGAGCTGATTTGGTTTTATCAGGCTTTGCTTGCAAGAACTGTCAAGACATCTTCGTGGTCAGCCATCCTTTCAAAAGCAAACAAGCTGTGCCGAGAACCCTGTGGTAAACTTTGACTTGACATGGAGCACACCCAAGGACTGCGCTGCACCACGCCGTCGTCGCAGGCAGTGAGAAGTCGGTTCGGCAACTGCTGGAGAGGAAGGCACGGAGGGTCCCAGCCTGGTTCTGTATGATCAGCATAGTCAGTGCAGGTAATGGAGCTGTTCTTGACAAGACACAGGCTCCCGCCGGTAGCGGTAGGATCACGTGCAGGTATGCTAAGCCCTGAGGTGTTGTGCCGGGAGCAATCCCGTTTCGGGTTTTTGCAAGAGATGCGTCGTAAAGAAGGGGCTCAGCACTCCAGTGGCGTTGTCCTCGTCACATTGCCCCACATCTCCAGACGATATTTGTCTATGACTATGAATGGAATGGAATGGACATGAATGCAGTTGAATGAGATTGAATGTAACATTGAATGGAACTGAATCGAACATGAGATTGAGTGGAGTCGAATGATGAAGTGAATGTAAAGACTAGAATCAATGGGAGTTTTGGCATTTTCGACAGCGTGGCAAATGGGTTTTCCGTGGAGTTCGTTTGGATGGCATGATGCGATGATGTTGCTTGGATTTTCGGTTTCGGTGGTCGCCGCTATCTCTCAGCTTAACCGGCTTAACCTCTTGACATGAATGCAGGGCATAGGCAAAATATTTTGCCAGTGCTTCCAAATACTGGAGAAACTGCTCGATCCGTCGTAGATTCCATGACACCGGGTCATGGCGCTGTGCGTGCGGGGCCGCTTCGAAAATGTTAGAATCTCGCCAGTATTTGGGGGAAGCAGTTTGGTCATGTTCCTGAATCCCGCTCTGGCCGTGCTCCTGAATCCGCTTTTTTGAGGGAAGCAGCGTGGTCATGTCTCTGACTCCAGCCAGCAATGCCGGAAGCAGGTTGGCTGTGCTGCTTCATCCTGTCAGTACCTGGGGGAAGCAAGTTGATCATGTCTCTGAATCCCGCCAATGAAGCAGTTTGGCCGTGCCCTTAAATGCCCGCAGTACAATTGAGCAAGCATGCTGGTCGAGGTTTGTAAAACGGTAAGGGGGTTAAGTCAGGGCTTGTGGAAGGTTTATCGACAAGGTTTACAGACGTTTATTACAGGCTCATAGAAGGGTTTATAGAAGGCATTATAGAGCGGCTTGATAGAAGGTCATACAATTGTATTGAGCGTTTTTTAACCGAAGTTTTGGACAGAAGGGTATCTGCAAGGGTTTGTAGTCGAGGGTTGCGCGGACGGGTGAGTGGATATTGAATGGATGGTTGGATGGATGGATGGATGAGGTGATGATTCGGTGTTATCTCGCTCTCAAAGCCCTTTTGGGACACTCGCGGTCTAGTTGTTTTTGGAGGGTGGGTAGGGTGTTCCTTCTTCTGTCATGCACATTAATCTGTATTGATGCATACGAAGCTCGTGCCCCGTTAGTCTGTGAACGTCGGCCTTTGTTGGCGTGGACTTCAAGCCGCAAGTTGCCTCCAAGCATCGAAGTGCCAAGAAGGGACCGTGTACAGGCCCAATCGCCCTTAAACGCAAACACAGGAAAACGCATTGACGAAGCAGGCCGATCCGGCACTGGCGGATGCTCGCGGCCTCACTCCCCTACACTGGGCGGCCTTCCTAGGCGTTCCTAAGATTCTGGGGGTGATGGAGTGACAGTGCTGACACATGTCAAACAAAGAGGGTACTGAGTAGAGACTGTGAATTCCACCGAGCTTCTTCCATCACCTATCCCTGGCAGCCAACGGCGCCATTCAGCCACTGATCGAGTATGGTGCTGCTGTGACAGCGCTGGACCACGAGGGCAGGCGCAAGACTGTTTCTGATTTCATGACGATCTGGCCGACATTTGTTGTGCTCCCAATACCCGAAACCATAGTGTTCAAGTTTGCTCCCTTGCATGCCATGGAGTTGAGAGTGTCAGATCTGTGCGCGCGTTACGACCTAAGCATGCCAGGCCGCCTTTGTCGCTTATGCCCACCGAGCCCCGGCCGAGATGTGTTCGGCGGAAAGGATGGGGGCTTGCTCTGCTTTGCTTTGCTGCTCTGTTGCTCAATGGGTGCAAGGGTCACACAAGGTGTTGGGGGCTTCAGGTTCAGAGCTCAGTTCAGTGACTAACGACAACAGCAACGGCACACCAATTATTCCGCACTAAGGAAGGGTTGAGATATGCCTTCCTCGCACGGGAGTTCGAGTTCAAGGAGCTGTGCTGTCACGAGCCTTGTCTTGACTTGTCCAGTGCGGCTTCTTCCGGAATCTTTTGGGTTGCAGCTCATACGGACGGCCGCTTTTCTCGTGCATGCAGAAACCGCAGCCTTTCAGTCGCCCTTCGGTCTCAGGAACTGCGCGTGGTGGGTTCAGGCAGGAACCATGAAGCCAGCAAGAGTGGATATGTACGGACTGCAGAGTTTTGAGTATCAGTCTCAGTTTTAGTCGTTTGTTGCGAGAGCCGATTTGGAATCCTCGGCAAGCATCCACGTGCAGCTTCAGAGGCCCAGCAGATGGCGTGTACACGCAGGTCAAGCCTTCCCAGCCTCAGGCTGTGGTGCGACCCGGTAGTGTGTTGTTGCTGTGGTTTGGGTGCTTGAGGATCCAGAGTCGAGCTTGAGCCACATCTGTTCAGGGTTCCGGACCCCCCTGCTCTGTTTCGCATGTTATATAGTTTTTGTTTAATTTGGCACTGACGGCCCCGCCTTTGGGTTGCGTCTGAATGCAGATCCGGAGGCTGCGCAATCCAGCTCTCCAGCGGAGCCGGCTGTGCAAGCAGCCTTGGCCTCTGCAGCCTCTGCGGCCTCTGCGGCCTCTGCGGCCGAGGCTAAGCCAGGGTACGGGAGGGGGGGGGCGGGTCTCAGGTTCCCGGACACATTGCAATGGCACACGATGCCCTGACCTAAACAGGGGGCTGAGCCGAGCGACCCGCCACCTCCACCTCCCCCCGCCGAGGCCGGGGCATGCAAGCACTGTCGAGACCTAGATACCGGCTAAGGTTGCGTGGAAGCGCAACCGCAACTTCCCCCCTCCCCCCAGACAGCAACTTGACTTGGTCAGGAGACGGGTGAAGCAGCCGCCGTGAGCGCAGAAGCTGGCGAGGCTGCCGGTGCCGGTGGCGAGGCCGGTGGTGGCCAGGCGGCTGAGGCTGCTGGTGAGGCTGGTGGTGAGGCTGGTGGCGCTGTCGCCGCAGCAGCTGCAGCCGGGGTTCCACCCGACGAGGTGGTCCCTGTCCCGAGCAGGCAGATTTGCTGCGTTTGACTTTGAGGCTGAGCCATTTTGGCGAAAGGTTTCCTCATGTGCTGACCTTAAAACTTGCCATTTTGGCGTTTCAATCCAAGCCCGGTGTGTTGGGCAGTTCAAGCCTGTCTGGGCGTGTATTTGTGTTCTGGAAGGAGCATATCAGCCTCTTAGCATGACGTGACTAATCCTCGGTCGGCATTACTCCTTGGCATATCCCACGGCAGGCCTCGATACCAGAGGGCGGCTGAGATGCAAGTGAAGCTGTGTTGTGCGCGGTTAATTTCGTACTTTGAGGCCACTTATGCTCTTCAATGAGCCATGCTGGGACTTTGAATTGTGAAGCTTTTTCCTGCTGTGTCGCAACCGAGACTGACGGTGTGCCGTTCCTCATTAAGTGGGATGCAAAGAATGGCTGGGCACTGTATCAGACAGCTCCCGGTCCGGCAGGAGTGGCCTCTTGCCTGCATTTTTCAAAGTGTATAGTCGTGCCGGGGGAGACTTCCCGATTTCGCTTGCCAGATCTGAGGAAGCATGTGTCTTCAAGAGCAGCAAGGCTTGCAGTCTGTGAAGCCGGTTGGAAAGGCTAGATGACGTCCTCTGCAGCCCAATAGGCGACTAGCTGTAGCTAACGGGCAGCCCTGGCAGTACTGCTCCTGAAAGCTCGAGCTGAGTGACGTGGCTAGGACACGCGGTATTGCCCAGTGGACGGATGGGCACCAGACGAGCGTGTGCAGCTGGAAGAGACGCCCAATGTGCGCGTGGAGGCTTTTCCTAGCACCGACATTGAACAAGTAAACGTGTGCCTGCACGTGCCCTGCTGCTTGTTGTATTCGCATCCACAGTAGGCCAAGTGCGCGAAGGGAGGTGTGGCACGGCCGAAGTTGCACAACCTGTCTGCTTCAGGAAGTGGCACCTTACCGATGGGGCATCCTTCTCTTTCAGGCTGCTGCTTCTGCAAAAGTTGGTTCTTGCTTAAGCAGTTGCACGTCTGTCGTGCTTGCACGCGGAAGGAATCTGCACAGAAGCAAGCAACGGTATGTAAGCCTTGTAGACCCCCAGCACAAACACCACCATAACTACCATCATCACCGTGAACCGTCACCATCATCAACGTGAACCGTCGCCATCGTCACCATGATCACCATCATCACCATCCTCGTCATCCTCGTCGTCGTGTTTCTGTCCCATGATATTGCTCATCGTCATCCTCATGAGCAGGGTCAAGTTTGCATTCAAACAAGTAGGTTGGTT